GCAGATGCTAGAAGCTTCACGGCCAACATGGGGAAGTTAGAAAGCCTGGTTTGAAAGTATAGAGCTAGCATCATGAAACCTGCTGGAATGGAGAGAACCAATGGGATGCAGTCATATTTGGATATAAACTCTGTAGGAAGGACAAGGAAGGCTGATGCTGTGTAGATCAAAGGGAGCCTACTGTTGAGCAGATTAGGAAACTTAAAGGGGGCGAACTCTTCAGAAGAAGCACTGTGGGTTATAATAATGGGCTCCAAAGCTAATTCAGTTCTAGCAGCATGCTGCTGTCTCCCAGACCAGAATGCTCAGGGTGAGCTTGAGGTGGAAAATGGAATCCAGGAGACTGTCAGATGATGAGGTGCTGCAGTAATGAATGACTTCCACTATCACCTCCCCACCCCCACATGACAGAATGCATGCATGCTCCGGTCATTACAAAGAGATTACATTTGAGAGCCAGTGTGGTGTAGTGGTTAGGAGCATGGGACTGGGACTCAGACGACCTGGGTTCTAGTCCCCGCTCAGCCATGGAGCCAACTGGGTGACTTTGGGCCAGTCACAGACTTTCAGCCCAACCTACCTCACAGGGTTGTTGTTGTGAGGATAAGATGGAGGAGGAGATGTAAGCTGCCTTGAGCCCTTTGTAGGAAAAAGGCAGGATATAAATCCAAAAATAAATAAATAAAATAAATAAATTTGTGAATGTCCTAAATGACTGTCCCCTAGAAAAGTAGGTCATGGACCTGACCAGGGGTGGTAGGTCATCCTGGATTTCATTCAAAATGCTGTTGCACAAGACCTAGTGCAGTTTGTAAAGGCTGTTGATCTGATGGGAAACAGTAAACCACAGTGCCATCAGATTCAATATGTAAGTAGAAAATTTTCCAGAAAGTTCAACACAGTCATATATGACTTCAAAGTGGGAAAATTCTAGAAAAAAGCATTTGAAAAAAGAAAGCTGAAAAGCAGTGTCAAGAGGCTTAAATCTTCAAAATGCTTGGTGGTTACGCAAAACTATTGTAACAGCAGTTCAGCTAGGATGCATACTTCAGGTTAAGAACGGTAGCACCAAATCCAAGAAGTTAATGAGCGCTGTCAAGGAAGCCATTACGGAAAAGAAACCTTCCTTCAGAAAATACAAGTCTTGCCCAAATAAGGAAAAGAAAGGGGAGCACAAGCTTGTACAAAGGAGATGTGAGTAGACAGTAAGAGAAGCAGAAAAACCATTTCGAGGAACATGTCACTAATAGCATCATGCCAACAATAAATATTTAAATCCATCAGAAGCAGGAAACTAGCTAGGGAGGCAGTTGGACCACTGGATAAAATGGAATGAAACTAATACTAAATGAGGATAAAGAAATCACAGAGAAACACAGTTTTTGTTTGTTTTTCACTTGTTTTCACTGGAGAATATATGGAACAGATGCTTATGGCCGAACTGATGTTTTTAGGAAGGAAGTATGAGGAACTGAGTCAAATAGGGGTGACAAATAATGACATTCTCAGCTTTACTGACAAACTGAAAGTTAAAACCACTGGGCCCAGATGGTATCCACACTAGACTTCTTCAGGATTTCCCCTGATCTCCCCTGAACTTGCTGATCTTCTAACAAAAATATGTAACATGTTCATAAGATCAGCCTTCAGAGGACTGGAGAATAGCTAATGTAGCACCAATTTTTAAAAAGCACTTCAGGGAGGGTGTAGGAAGTTACAGCCTTTGCCCCAGGTAAAATGGTTGGGAGCATTGCTAAAGATAAAAGTAGCAACCACATAGAAGGACAAGCCCTGTTGAAAAAGAATTGACATCATTTCTGCAAAGGTAAGCTCTCTCTCGTTGACCTTCTAGAGTACTTTGATAATGTGAAGAAGCATGTGATCAGAATGCTCTGGTAGACATTGTATATTGGACTTCCAAGGGGCTTTTGACAAAGACCCTCATTAAAGATTCCAGAACAAACTTAGCAGTCATGGGGAAAAAGGAGAGGCCCTCTTATGAATTAAAAGAGCAGGGAGAAGGAAATAGGAATAAATGATATATTCTCTTGATGGAGGGTTTTTAACAATAGTGTCCTGCAGGGTTCCGTACTGGGGCCAGTGCTCTTCAACTTATTAATAAATCTGACACTAGGAGTTAGCAGTTAATTAGCCAAGTTTGCTGATGACACCAAATTATTTAAGGTGGTTGAAACAAAAATGATTGTGAAGAGCTCCAAAAGGGTCTATTCAAACAGGAAGAATGGGCAACAAAATGGCACATGTATTTCATTGTAAGCAAGTATACTGGGATGTATGTTGGGGCAAAAAATCCCAGCTTCAGGTTTAAGATGATGGACCTGGGCTAGTGTGACTGACCATAGACATCTTGGGGTTGTGGTGGACATTTCAATGAAAATATCAACACAGTGTCAGCTGCAGTGAAAATGGCAGACCCCACAGTAGGCATAATTAGGAAAGGAACTGAAAAGAAAACTGCCAAGACCAGGCAACCCTTGTACAAATATGTGGCACGACCACACTTAGAAGACTGTGTACAGACCTCGCCACCACACCTAAAAAGGGCACTGCAGCTTTGGGAAAAAGGTGTAGAAAGGGCAACTAAAAAGATCACGGGGCTGGAGCAACTGCCCTGTGAGAGAAGTTACAGCAGCTGGGATCGTTTAGCTTAGAAGAAAGGTGCATAAAGGGAGACCTGATAGACGTGTACAAAAGGATGCATAGTGGTGAGAAAGTGTGTGGAAATATATTTTTCTCCCTCTTTCATAAAGAGGATGTCTTTACAAGAGCACTAGAAAAATTCATGGATGAGTGAGCGCTCATGATGGCTCTCTGCTTCCTCCAGTATCAATGGCAGTAAGCCTACGTACATCAGTTCCTGCAGAACACAGGTGGGAAGCAGCATTGCCCTTGTGTCCTGCTTGCAGTTTCCCCAAGGAAAAGTGATTCATCACTGGGCAGACAGGACACTGCACTAAACTGACTAGGCGGAACCTGACCCAGGATGTCATTTCTTACGTTCTTGTGACCAAACCCAAGACCTGTGCCCTTTCCCCAAGCAGGATACTCTGTACTTTCCAAGGAAAAAAGATTGGCACAATAAAGAGTTGGGAAACTGCCTGGAAAAGAAAGAGGGCACAGATAGAGAATGACAATCTACACACTCCAGGGGAAGAAAAATCTCTAATGTATTGCTATCAAATTGCTCTCAAATCAGACAATAACATACTGAATACATTTAGGTGCAGTATTTCTAAAATATCTGAAGTATTTGCCTGCTGTTTTGTTTGCTTGTTCTTTAGCAAGGTTGGGAAAATTCTCCTGAGCCAGGCTCAGAAATAACATCAGGGGTTCTAAAGTATATCTCAAAGTGATAAGCTGACTTTAAAAGCTAAAACATCCTTCTCCAGTTGAAACTTGAGCCAAAGGAAGATGCTGGAACTAGTAAAGCTTCTCATTTTCCGATGGGCTTTGCTCAAAGCTGAGCCACAGAGGAGTTATTGCCTCCCCATCTTTGGTTCACAGTGCAATCAGCGGGGGTGCAGAAGCCCTTGAACGAACTACTGCAATTTTTTGTAATCCCCTGCATCGCAGATGCTGCATCTGTTAGCCAGCATAATGGAAGAGGAAGAAAATATATACCTTTTGTATTCTACCCATAATCCCCTGCTGCTGAATTATGAGAAGGAAAAGGGAGTGTTTGTTTGATCAGAGTGGCCTTGAGGAACAAAGGGAAGTTGAACATGGGCAGGTAATTTTTCAGACTCCTTGCAGACAAAAATTATTGGAGATCTTCTGATAGAAACACACTCACTCACACGATCTGGAATAATTTCTGAATTAATCCATGAGCTTTAGCAAGTTTTCCCACCACTATTTCTTGCCTTTTTGTCTAGAGCTGCTTTTGTTAGCTACAACTGATTTTAGTCTTTTCTGTTATTTTATATTTTATTGTATATACTGTTCAATAAAACTTTTGTAACTGTTTATGGGTGTGTTTTTTTTAAAATAGTGGTATAAATATTTTTAAATAAAACATCTGTTGTACCATCAAAAAATTAAGTATGAATGTGAGGGATAAATGTCATGAATCCCACATGTACATTTAATAGGAAGTTGTGAGTGGTAATAGCTTCCTATTCAGTGCAGACTTGGTGACAAAGTGAATTTGCTTCTTTGCTGAGTGTTAAATGGCCCTATGACAGATCCTGACCCCAGAATGAACCCTTCCTGTGCATCTTTCGAAGAAGTGATTAGTTGCATTTTAAAAATCCGGATCTTAGTGTGGATGAGTAAATTTTTTTTTTATAATCACTCTATTGTTCACATACTGAAGTGGGTCAAAATCTACACATTTTCAATGCCTTTCGACAAAGCAATTACCCAAGTCCTGAGTTAATCAGTGTCTTTTATTGAAGGATAATTAACAAGGCATATTTAGTAATTCACATGGTCTAGAGTCTGCCACTTCACTCTGGGAATGAATGCAACTGGCCAAGTGGCTGCAGTATCACATGAAAACTGTATGCATCCTTTTATGTCTGTTGGGAACCTCCCATTCCAACAGAATGAATGATTTGCAACACGCTGGGAAGGAAAGAAAGTTCTGTATTAAAAACCAGCGCACAAGAATAGCAACTTATATGGAGTGGTCTCCAAAAAGTTGATTTAAAGCAGTAGTTATGTAACCACTTGCCGCCTGAGTCCAACCATAAAAAGAAGGCAGCTTCCACTTTTTTAGCCATTCCATTTGCATTAACAGAAGACTGCTGCTCTTTGCTGGTGCCTGTGAACTCCATCTAAGGCAGTACAGTGTAAATAGTACAGTGAGAGGATTAGAGAGGCTATGCAGGGGGAAGGAGGTATCAAGTTAAGGAGGACATCATTCCCTGCGGCCAAGATTTTGTAACCCAACTATTCAGAAAGTGGCTCTCTAGCCACAAAGGGTCCAATGCAGGACAGAGAAAAGCATGCATGCTTCCAACTGCAGTTTGCATTACCTGGTGGCTATGAGAGGGAAGCTGTGCATTGGCTTATTCAGGGCATCTCTGCTTTGTGGGAAACTGCTATAGAAAAGAAGCTCCTTCTCTGTAAGGATGGCAAGGATGTTCTTTGTCCCATCACCAGGAAGCTGCAGAGAAAAGGTAGCTGTCACAGAAGCACAGTGTGGAGGGCAATGCCCAATTTGCTATATCTAACAGGAAAAAAATACGACAAGCAGGATGGAGTTTTTGTTCTTGACTGCCATCTCATGAGAGATGCATTTGAGCAAAGCGCCTTCCTCAGCCTGGTACCCTCCAGGTGTGTTGGACTGCATCCTTCCATGTGCACGAAGAACGCGTGAACAACAGGTTGAGAAAGGCCGGAACACAGGGGTGTCTGTGTACATCAGGTTTCTTTGGTGTAAATTGGTGTCCTGCAACAGCATGGGATAGGACCCAATGGCCTTCTTGGCCTCTTCCAACTCTACTGTTCCATGATTCTATGATTCTAAGAGACTAAATGTCATCAGAATGAATCCATTGATTAAAAATATGTACATTGCACTATCCTCAAAAGGAAGTCCTATGTGGTTTCTGTTGTAAATACTCCAAAAATGGTATAAACATAAGTAATACCATCCAATAAAAACAGAAAACTGTGGGTTTGCTTGCTTACTGTCTTAAGCAACATATAAAAACAAGTTCAGACTATCCTGTAGTTCTGGATAACTACTCTTTTACGGTATTTGTATTTTTATTGTATCTGTTTTTACTGTTGCACTTATGCTTATGTACACCCAGAATGCCTTGGCTACTGGGAAGCATAGAAACGAAAGCAACAGTAATAGTAACAGTTAACAGTAACAGTACTAATGAAGGTTCAGCCGTCTTTTACCTGGAGTGTGCAAGATCTGTCCTCACCATTAGAGGATTGCAGATGAATGACATGCTGTACTAGCCTTAATCTTTAAAATCATGGAATTGTCAGAGCATTCCTGATAATTTTTGCCGGCTGCTTGTGGAACAACTGCCTTGAAAAGTGATGGCTCTTCTTCATTAGAAGTTTTTAAGCAGAAGCTGGATGGCCACCTGTTGGGGTGCTATAATAATGTACTTCCTGCATCAGCAGTGGGGCGACTAGATAGAGTTGGAGATCCCTTCTAATCCCATGGTTTCATGAGACAGAAGTCTCCTCCCAAATGCAAATCAGTGGTGGCTTGGGTTTGCCAGATAGCCTCCTGGAGTTCAAGTAAAAAGCAATGTTACAATTTCAGTGATGGCTGCAGCAAAAAGCAATCTGGATTTAGGTGTAGTTGAGATCCTGCTCTGCTATGAAGCCTTGAGTGGATAATGAGGTTAATGTAGTTGCTAAATTGGTCATATAAAGCTTTTATCACATAATGCTTTATTCATCAGACAATAGCCATAGCCATAAATGGAAGCCATTTGAATGTATTCAGTCACTCATCCGATTTGATGAAATGACACTGAAAAAGGATAGCAGTAATCAGCATTGCAGTATAAACATGCTTGATATTAAAAACACAATTATTTAATTTTCCCTCTATGTGCTTCATAGAGTCATGACTGCAAGTGAGGTCACATGCTCTGGAGCATGGAGGGGGATTTTCTTCAGAAATGAAGACAAAATTGGAACTAACACTGAGACAGCAGCCCACAATGGATGTGCATATTGCTTTACAAACAGGGCAGGAGGCAGGTACAGCCAGGGGGCAGGCTCAGATTCTTAGGGTGCATTCTTCTTCAAAGCATGCTGCCTTCAGCTGAACTAAGGTTGGGGTGGGCATGGAGAGACCTTTGAATATGTGGAATTGGGCATGATGAAAGCTAGAATTATTGTGAATCTCATTATTTTTTTCCTTGTCTTATGTGCCCAAATTCTTCTACTTTTAAAAGCTTGGTAACATGGAATGATGTTCCTAGGAATATAGGATCTGGCTTTATTCTGACTGATCCACAAGATTGCTATTGTCTATACCAACTGACCACAGATCTCCAGGTTTTCAGGCAGGGGCCCTTTCCAACCCTACCTGAAGATGTCGTGAAATGGATCTTGGCCCTTCTGTATGCAAAGCATGAGCTCTTCCATGGACCACTGGCTGCTGCTCAGCTTTATCACTAATGCTAGTTTTGTGTAATATCATGTCATGATGTTAAGCATTAAAGTCAGAGCCCTTTAATTTTTATAAAACACAAATAAAGAAACAAACATGAAAAACTAAATGCTTTGCATGTAGAAACTCTCTGGTTTCATCCTCCAAATCTTTACTTCTGGGAGTCAGTAAGAGACCTGCTGCCGGTCAAAACAGATAGTCTTGGGCTAGACAGGTCAGTGGTCTAGTTCAGTAGAAGGAAATATCATAAATTCATGTGACTAAATACCCAGACATCTGCAGAATTCCTGCTTAGCCTTGACCATTAATTCACTAGACGGTGCTTGTCTGCCAACATTTTCATCAGCCACTCACCTGCATTAGTCATTTGTGGTATAAAAAGAAAGAAAAAGAAACCATTTCTGCAAAGCGTTCCTGCCCAGAATTTTTTTTTTTTACTTACCACAGACAACCAGGTGATCAGCTCTTTAGATGCCTCCTCCAAGCATTATGCATATTTTATACATATGCATCTGCAAATTAAGAAAATACACATGCAGCAGCATAATCCACCTTTGTGCAAGAGGGCTTCCTCTTGCTCACCTCATCCTTGCAGTCCCCTGCTTCCAAAGCCGTTCCAGAACAGATATGCGGGGCACATGAGGGACTGTAGTTGAGGAGCAGAAAGTGTTCCACCAGCAGTTTCCATTTTACTGGCGGAAGGTCAGGATTGGATCCAAACTTTTCACTGCACACTTGTTGGCAAACCACTATCTAGTAATGGGTTTTATCTATTTATTGCATATTTTATCTGCCCAATAGCCAGTGCTGCCTTCTGCAAGTTGTGAATGCTCGCTATATGGGGATCAGTGCAGTTCCAACATTACCTGTTCAGTGAGCCAGCCAATGTGCTTGATGTCTCTGCTTCCTGCAATGGTAATTCCAGACTGCAAGGTCCGCAGCTCCTCTTTGACTCTTGGCAACAGGGCGCTGATGTTGCTATGAATGGCACTGAACCATGCTTGGGCAGATGCTTCATCCTTCGCTCGAAGAAACAAGGGAATCTGTCCATCTGCTGAGCACACTTCTAGGTATCTGCATGAAGAATTTCCCTTAACATGAGACTGAAATATTTCCTGTAGCCAAAACACAAGCTGTCACCACGGCAAGTGACCATCACCCTGCCTGCATTTCAAGCTGCAATGCCTTAGGGGGATGGAATACCATGTCCTCATCTGGACTGGGTGCTTTCACTACTTATTGGGGATGCAGAGGGGTTAAAGAACCCTAACATGGCCCATCATGGCTTCTGAGTCGTTGCTTTGGAGAGAAGCACCTACAGGTGGTCCCACTAAACAACAGCTCCTTCTTTCAAATCTGCCCAGGAGCAATGCATTTGCCATTCAGTGTCAACCCCTCAGCATTCTACTAACGCAGCCCAGTGTTTGAAGCAACTAGTGATATTTGGGATTCACACAACTCAATCTGTCTGTTCAAAGGACTTGCCTATACATTAGTCAGTGACCAACAGCAAACAGCTCTGTGCAGCTGGAGCAGGCCCGTTGTTGTTATTAGTATTATCCCCACTCTGCTGATGGAAAACTCACTGCTCCCCAGTGGCTGGTGAGTTCATAGCAGAACTCATGGTCACATTAGAATAATGCATTGTTGGGTTCACAGCTTGAGTTCGGGTTTAGATGTATAAGCTGAGAAATTGTTGCTCAGGTGTCTTTGTATTATGACAATCATGCAGTTGTGACTTCCAGCTGAGGACAGTGTTGCAAATGTATTGACTGCATTCTGGAATATAGGTGTCTTCATCTACATTTATATACATACAGGAGTTGATTGGCACCAAACTAAGGAATGGATGGAGGTACAAATTTAAGTATATAAAACAGCTATGGAGCAAAAGTTTGCATAAGTCCTAGATAAAGAGGGTTGAATTCAGAAAGGCGGTTGATCAATTTTGCTCCATGGACCTGCAAAACCTTGACTGGATGCAACTTTAATGTTCAGTTTAAGCCCACAATCTTGCCTTCTCTTGCCTCCTGGGTGCATTAATCTTGCAATGTATGGGTGTTGAGCTACAACAACAACAACAACAATAATAATAATTATAGCAGCAGCAGCAGCAGCAGCACTTCTTTAAGCATTTATAGACTGTCATAATAGCCTCATGGCTCTCTGGATGGTTTACAACAATTAAAAGACAACAAAACAAAATGTTAAAATCCATAAAAATAAATAAAAGCATCCATAAAAGCAGGGACATCAACTGTGTTGACCTCATACAATGACCAGATTGGACACATCAAATATTTAAATGCCAATTTCATAAATTAAAATACCAACCTAAAATAAGAATTAAAACTTGAATTAAAACTGTCCAACATTAAAATATTTATTTATTTATTTAAACCATTTTTATGTCGCCTCATTTGCAAAAAGCCTCGGGGCGGCTTACAAAGGTATTCTAAATTTTTTTTTTTTTTTTTAAGTCTTTGCATGGCACCAAAATGTATACAAACAAGGCACTTGATGCGCATCTCTGGGCAGCCAATTCCACAGATGGGGTGCCATGACTGAAAAGGCCCTACACCAGGTAGCCACCTTATCCCTAATGATGAACTACACTGGCTGGGGCTAATGGAAATTTGAATCCAACATCTGGAAGACCACAGGTGCCCCCTGCCCAATTCACTGTGCATATATTACAGCAGTCTATTCCAATATGGTGCTCTCCATATCTGTTGGATTACGGCTCCTTTCATCCCAGCCAGCATTTGTGTACATAAACCACTTGCACACTGCAAACAAGTTGGGAGAACTGTGGACAAGAATGACGTGACTGGTTACCTGTTTTCTGGATCATTAGGGAGACATTTCCTTGATATGTAGCACATTTTTAATGGGACATTCTTCCCTTCTTTGAGATCTCGGAAGGAAAGGGCAGGAGAAGCTTGCTTCTGAAAGGCTGGTGAGGAGTCCCAACTTACAGTTGCTCCAGTTGAGGAATTTTTAAAATAGGGAGAGATTTCCTTCATATATTTGACTGGAAGAGAGAAAGAAATACAAAAGCATTCAGTGTGCAATTAAATTCAAGATTCCCCCTTCTAAGTCCAAATCTGCTTTAAAGATAAAAAGACCTAAAGAGGGGCCTTGAAGAAGCCATCAACATTTAACATCTGGGAAGGACACTGAGCCTGCACACACAGCCCCTCGGTCTTCCCCACCAAGGTGAGCTGCATCGTGTCCTAAACCTGCAGGACACTATAGGCTCCTAACACCATTAGCCTGTAGCACAATTGAGAACGGACAGCAAATGTGCCTGTTATAAAAATAATACCATGAAAATAAAATATTTTTATCCCCCCACCCATTCTACTTTCTGATGAACAATGGAAAAGAGGCTCTGGTCTAACACTGAGGGGCACCTAAGGGAGAAATCCTATACATGTTGAGACAGAAAAAAAGTCCTAGTTACATCTATATTCTGCCTTTTTGCACTTCTAAGGAATCCAAGGCAGTTTACATAGTCCCCATAATTTCCATTTTATTTGCACTGCAGTCCTGTGAGGTGGCTTAGGCTGAGAGTCAGGAACTGGTCCAAAGTCACCCAATGAGCTTCATGGCCAAGTGGAAAGGAGCATCCAGATCTCCCAAGTCCAGCCCAATTCTCTCAACCACTACATCACACTGGTGCTCTTGCTTGGGAGATGCAGGACTTTTTGTCTCTAAACATCTGTGGAGTTGCGCCCTTAACAACAGAAATTTTCATGTGGGAGTAGGCAATCCATTTGGGCTTTAAAATTTCACTTGACGTGTATGTATTTTATAGATTCATTATGTTTATACCTTGTGGGGTTTTTTCCCTTCCAAGGAACTCAAGGCAGCTTACATCTTCCTCCTCTCCATTTTATCTTTACAACAACCCTGTGAGGTAGGTCAGACTGAGATGCTCTCTTTGGCCAAATGAGGACCAGAATCTCTCAAGTCCCAGTCAAAAGCTTTCATCACTAGACCACAGTGGCTCTGAATTGTTCCAAGAAATACACTGAGAGTCGGAGAAGATCTTTAAGCAGCATGAATTTTTCTTCTCCATGGTGAGGCCTAGTTAACCTGGCAGTCATAGTCTGGACTATGAGTTTAAATGCTTTTCAAAGGCATCCTCATTTATACAATAAAGCGTCTGAAGTGTCTGTGTGATTACCGCTATTTGAGCACAATCTACTTGAGTAAGCAGTCCTGTCATTGCTCCAGTCCTAAGCATTTGCAAGGAAACTTGTACTGATGAAGCAAACTTTTTGCAGTCTCGTTGTGGCACAGTAAATACAGACCTGCATTTCTAGTCTGTATGGTGAATCAATTACAGTGACTTTACCACACACCCTGCATGGATCTATTCAACCCACATTCTCCAAATGCCAATATGATCATGCAAATACACCAGATGGTAACTAACCCGAAACTCTTTCTTTTGCTTTATGCCAAAATCAATATTGACAGAAAAGTGGTTGTGTCCCAAGTTGCAGCCTTAATAAGTCTACTGGAACCATTTTTCATTAATACAATTTGTCCCAGATTGCTCCTCTTCCTACTGGTGGCACCCCTATTCGAACGCATGACCTTGCTGCTTGGTGCAGCTCAGGATTCAAAAGATTTTGCCTGCCTCAGAGGGGCTGTTTCCTTGGGCAGCAATAAGGTGCATGCCCTGCGTTAGCCATCGGCCATGTGTCTTCAGCGGGCGTTGTGGTTGGCTCGCGGCTGTATGTACTGACTGCTCCGGCGGTGTGTGGCATGCCTCCCAGGTGCTGTTTCTGAGGCAGGAAGGAGACTGCACAAATGGAAACAGGATACAATTTCAGTGGAAACTATTTCAGATAGATGTTACTGTTCCAGTCCGTCTGTAAGTTTAGACCTCAGAACGAAGCCCACAATTCTCCACATACCACTTTGTGATCGGTGCAGTTCCCAGCAACTATTTAAAGCAACGAAGGGTGTTGGGAAGAAACCGGCAAAGCTGGGCAGATATTTGACAGTGTGCTAACTAGATTACTTTTTACACTTGTTCCCAATACGTCGGATAAATGTTCCCGCCTGTGCAAGCTGTTCTCTGACCACCAGCCAGCAGGCATTTCAAAGGCACTGGGATGCCAGCCAAGATAGCTCCAAGTGCAGTCTAGTGGGAGCCTCTGTCACTGCAATGGATCCATGGATATAAAGGAAAGAAAAAATAGCTTGTGTATGCAATGCTGCACACTTCTGTTCATATTAACTGGAAGGGGGACATCGCACAGTGGAAACGAGATATTCGGGGGAACTGCACGTCTAGCACCTGTGCGGGAGGGTTTGTAGCTTTCTGACTAAGCGGCTGAGCAACAACTCAGCAACAACAGCAACTCCTCTGTTGACAGCTTGCTCCAGCTGGAGCTCAGAAGTGGCCTTCGAAGCCTCCCCTCCCAGCCCTCGAAGCATCCCCACTCACACGCACCAGGGAGCAATAAATATCCATGGTACCAGGCTGCTGTAGAAAGGTCGAGGTAATACATGCAAAGCGCTCTGAATACTCAAAAAGTGCTATATGAAAGCTATTGCCATCATTATTGCTACTTGATGAGAGTGCCACTTAAAGACCACTGGGATTCCCACATGTCTGCAGGATCCACAGGAGCTAACAAATATCACATGGAATGCTCAAAACACTCAGTGCATGAGGCTGACATTAAATGACAGCACTCCAACGAATTCATTCATTTGAAAGTGTTGCCTCCTATCCCTTCCATCACTCCCAAAACACCGTTCTTCTCCGTAGCTGTTCCAAAGGCTGCAGTGGTCATATGTGCTTTAAACAGAGCTTTGGCTCGCCTCTTCAGCAACCAGAGTCGTCACAGGAGCAACAAAGTTCTGGGAAAGCCTTGGTAGTGCCTGTATTTTGCTGCACACATCTTCTCTGACTGACAGCCAAGCATATCACAGGCTAAAGTGCTGAAGGATGCAGACAACAAAATTGTGACTCAACAAGGCAAATTAGGTGTCGAGACTATCTACAGGAATGGAAAGTATTCAATTATGGTAGCCACAGAATAATAAAGACGAAAGCCTGCACTGAACTTTGAGCTTTCCATTCAGTAATTTTCGAGAGTACAACATGCCCTCCATAGCCCATGCACTAGTCTACATAACATTAAGATATTTAGTCCATAACCTTATGGAAGGCAGAAATCTGAAAATCTTGCACTGTAACATTTTAATAACGTACAGGTGGCATATGCTTCATTTATGGCTGTGGAGACCCCTGTCCCTTTGAATACAGCAAGCAGTGCTGCACAGGCTATGATTACCATGTTGGCCACTCAGACTAGGACTCATGCAATTTTGAAGCACCCCGTCTTTGCATCTATCTATTTCCCAAACCACATGTCTGTGTGTTCCACGTTTAATGGAGCCTTTTTGTCACTGGTTAAAATATTTAAAATATGCAAACTAAAGTACTCAGATAAGCAAGCCTGAAATGGAAACAATTGTATGTTACTAAAATGTTATTTTAAATAAAACATATAGCCAGCCAGCCAGCCTGGAGCCTTGTACTTTGTAGTGGCAAACAAACAATTTTAGAGCATCTTTTTGAAGGAGAAGAAAACGAGCCTGCTTTAACCAAATAATAATGTTGTTTTTGAAGTGGTAGGGATCTGGCCAATGACTCAAGCTTTCCTCATATTAACCCGAATGTTTCCATCTGTTGCTATTTCCTTTGGAGTTGCAACAACTTCGATTATCCACACCATCCTCATCTAATATGTTTGTAGTGTAAGTCCCAGGCCATAGAATAGCAACAATGTGGGCTGCTGGAAAAGGGAAGGAACTGTGCATTTCCCCCTTGAAAATACTTATTGCTAGTACGAAGTCTGTATACAGGATGCCATGTAATCTCCATTTATCTACCCCCGCCTTAGAAACCATACCCTTTACATCTAGAACCTGCTGCAGCTTGAAGATCTCACATGTGTTGTAACCCCACCCCCCCCCATAATCGAAACATGCAGCCAGGGCACGGCTCGTCACGGGTAAAAAGCATGATCAGGGTGTCCTGTGCACGTAAGAACAAGAACCCCCAATGAATGGGCACGCTACGTAAGGATGAAAACAAAGCAGGCTACGCTCAAGCATAACCGCAAACGTCACGCCCTTGCACCCTCGCTTGCTTGCTTTAGCATGGGAAATGTGCAAAATGTGCAAATGTAGCTCAGTGGGGTTCCCCTATTGTTCGCTGTTATTCAAGCACCTGCATAGTTGTAAAAGAGTATAAAAATGGTGCCCTCCTTCTGCTTGGGACCGCACTCCAACCAGTGTGGTCCCTGCAGGTAAATAAACTTCTTCTCTCGAAAATTCCAACTGGTCTCTGGTCTCATCCGTAAAACCGCGGCACACAACAACATGCCTCCTTCTTCCATAGAAACAAAGGAAATTGCCTTGTACTGAACCACATCACTGGCCCATTTAAGCTGGTCTTGTTTGACGCTGGACACTGACAGCAGTTCTCCAGTCCTGCCACTGCACTGATGCCCCTCCTATGGAAGAGACATGAGTGTGGAACCCCCAGCCTTTTATACCATTGGTGATCATATGTATTTTATTCTGTTGCATTTTAGGGTTTTCACTGTTGTGAACTCATGCGAGAACAATGGAAATGCGACAATTAATTGACATCTTCTATAATATTTGTCTTGGTGTGATGCCTTTAGCCTAGGTCTAGGACTTCAACACAGCTGCCATCCTCGCATGCACATGGAATGATGCTATCACTCAGTAACCTTCCTCCTTGTGAAAAACCATCTTAAAACATGATGTGCAAATCATGTCACCAATATATGAGGATACATTCCTCAGCCCTTTGACAACAAAGCACTGTGGCCAAATCTGTCTTCTCAGACCAGAGAAGCATTTGGGCAGGGCATAGCAGACTGGAGAGCAAAGCAACCCTCTGAGGAGCAGCTGCTTCAGGTATAATAGAGGATTTGTTTCCCTTGGCCTATACGTTACAAAGTCAATTTA